GTCCCCGTGCTGCTGGTGGGGTCTGAGCACCCCCAGGGCAGGTGGGACATGGGGACACAGGTCCCACGCAGGGCTCAGGGGGGATCCCGGCCATGGGAGGGGGCTCTGCCCGTGCCCTGACTAGGGGGGCTGCATTCAGCCAGAGCCAAGCTCTGCCCAGGGCAGCAGGAACCCACAGCAGGAGCCTGGGACAGGACCAGGGCTGGGCACGCAGGGACACCCCCAGAGGTAGCCAGCACATCATTCACCAGCCTGGGCTACAGAAGACATTTTTGCCTTCATCCCAGCTCCCCCCTGCCCTCAGACAAGCCCAGCTCAGGGGGAGCAGCTTTCCAGGCTCACATCCCTCTTGTTTGTGCCCCAATGCAGTGAATCCCAGTTGCACCAGCTGCCTACAAAAGACCTCCCCAGCGTGATTACTCACAGTGCAGGACAGTCAGGCACTTCTCTGGCTCCAGAGCTCCACCATCCCAGGCTGCCAGGAGCCCCCTCCAGCCCCATGGGAAATACCCCCCTGCAGCTCCCTCCCCTTTAAAGGCTCCCCACCCATCACTGCAATTAAAGGGCCAGGGTGGGCTCACCTCCCCACACACACCTGGGCTTGCAGATTCTTCCCACTTAAAATTTGCTCAGCAAAGAGGGGAAGGAAAGATGGGGTGTGTGGTAATGGTGTCCCCTCAGACACTTTTACACCCTGATGGCGATGGGTGTCCCAGGTGAGGGACATCCTCACTCCCAAGCCCATCTCATCGTGCTGCAGGGTGAGGAGAGGCTGGATTCACCCCCCAGCATCAACCAGCCTTGCGGTTGACAAACCCCCAGCAGCGGGTCCAAAAGCTGCTGGGGAGGAAACAGCCCAAACGGCACCGGGAGGATTGATAATAACCAGCCCCAGATCTGATTTCAAGGGACCGGCCACATCCAGTTCTGAGAATAACACGGGCTGGGTATGATCAAGGGAGCGCTGGCTTTGGCAAGGGCAAGGAGAAAGTTGGCTTTTCTGCTGCTTCCAGCCCAGGAACGGCCGCGTGTGTCGGTCCAGCCCCAGCTCCCACAGCAGGATACGCGCAGAAGCGCTGGGAGACCCGGCCATCCCCGGGTCCGGAGATGGGCTGGTGCTCACCTCCTCGGGATGAGTCACCCTGCGCTGCCAGGGCGGTTCTTAGGCAGCTTCCACCAGCAGAGAGGAACGCATTGAACAAAGACCCAAAATCCCTGTTTGTTGCAGAGGGAAGAGTTAGTCATGCGTGTGCTCCTCGCTGCTGAGTCACCCGGCAGCCACCGAGAGCCGTGGGATAAGGGACTGGAGAGGGTGGGAGCCACTGTTTACTGACTTGACATGTAAATCAATCAGGAGGTTGTGACGATGCCATAAAGCAAGACAGTCACAAGCTGAGAGGGAAGAGGGATCGTTAGGCAGAGTTTATAGCTGTTAAAGGAAAGAAAAAAGAAACCATGGAGGTATTTTATTTGCGGGTCCGGAGCTGGCTTTAAAAATTATAGGTAACATTACATTGCATTTTATATACCACCAGCAGACCCAAAAGCTCTTTTATATGCTGCAGCAGACGCGGCTCCTTCCTGCCTGATTCAGAGCAGCAGCTGGGCCACGGTTTCTGAAGGCATCAGCATCTCGGCTGGGGCTGTGGAACGGCAGCTGGAGCTGGGCAGCTGATGGCTCCAAAAACCCACCCGGGCTGTCCCCGCAGCAGCGCTGCTGCAGACGGCTGGTGACGGACGCCAGCGCCTCGTCGGGCTTTTAAACCAGGACACAAAGCGTGTTCGTGCCGTTAAAGCGGGGGTTTCTTTATCATGGGTACCAGCTTAACATCTAGCATTTAATTTTAACACCAAAGGGGCCGAGTCGCCAATGACTAATGTTTCCTTTGATCGAAATCACGGCTCTGGCCAGCAAAAGGCCCTGCTGCTGCTGGGGGGAGGTGTGAGCAGCACACAGCGCCCGGCCCCGTGCTGGAAATGCCGCCTTGGGTTTCTCCATCGAGGTTGGGACATCGGTTGTGGTTCCTCCTCCTGGCTCAGAGCATCTCTGGGGCTCTGAGGGCAGCACATCGGGCTTTCCCCAGGTCTCTGCTGCTTCACCCCATTGCACAACCTCCAGGAGGGCCATGGATGGGTGCAAACAGAAGAGAGGGGTATCTCTAGCCTACGTCCACAAGGGGATTTGAATAATTCCTGATTGTAAAGAAGGAATTATATCTGCTTGTAAAATCAGCCCTTGCTCCTGTTGTGGACGAGGCAGGAGAAGCACTCAGGCCATGACATGAGAATTTCCTACCCACGGCTGTCTCGGCCATTGGCCTCCAGAGCTTGAATCATTTCTCTCATTCGGTGCAGAAGTTGGAGGGTTTCCTTGAAAAGAGAGTCTTTGTTTGGCGAATATTTCTCCCGTCTGGTTCGGGGTTGTAAAGGGCCCTTTGTTGATTAAATGACAATCTTCTTTCTCAGCCCACACGATGCCATCAGCAGAGAAACAGGGGTTTTGAGGCCCTTCTGAGTCGCCGGAGAAGGGTCCGTGCCGGTGCAGCCGCCCTGCGCGGAGGAAGTGCTGTGGGTGTTAGAGAACCGGCTTGTTTTTTTAAAAAAAATACCAGGCTACATCCTTAGCGGTTTCAAATTTGGGGCACAGGTTGTTGAGCTGTTCTGTGATTTTAGAGCACCTGAAATAATGGGATCTTAGGCTGGAGGCGATCTCCTAGAACCTCCCCGCCACCAGCATAATACAAATGGGTCGTAATAAAAAATAAATTAGTGTGAGTCCACAGAAGCCAGCAGAGCTCTATCCCTTTCACAGGCTGAGGATCCAGATGAATATTTCATTTAAAATATTCTATTATGTTGGCTCATATCATTGTAATATCTGAGTGTCTCACATTTGTAATGTAACTTTACAACAGCTTTGTGAGACCTGGAAATCTCAGACTGAAAATGATTTCAGGAACCGGCCGTCCATTTTATTCCGTGTTGATGCAGCGTCTTGCACAAAGCCGCCCACGACCGGGGCTTGGTGGTGCTGCTGGAGATGCAGAATGAGCAGAGCAAGACCGTGCATCTCAGGCCAAGGCTGAACCAAAGAGCAGGGGGATGCAGGAAATTGGATTGAGCATCCCAGTGCCAGAGTGGTCCCACCGGTCCATCCAGCTCCGCAGCTGGGACAGCCACAGCAGCTAGAGGACTCCAGCACTCGATCGTCATCTTTTGTTGGGCAGACAATGAGGTTTGGTTGGGGGTGACCTGCTGGAGAGCACCTCTGAGGAGAAAGACCTGGGAGTCCTGGTGGACAATAGGATGACCATGAGCCAACAATGTGCCCTTGTCACCAAAAGGGCCAATGGCATCCTCGAGTCTCCTTCTCTGGAGACATTCAACCCCCACCTGGACACGTTCCTGTGGGACCTGCTCTGGCAGGGGGTTGGACTGGATGATCTCCAGAGGTCCCTTCCAACCCCATGTCATTCTGTGATTCCGTTTGCAGAGGCTTTTCTGTCTCACTGGGTCTGTGAGCAGCCTGGCTTGCTCTAGCACCGCTCCGGTGTTTGTAAACAGCCGCCTTAAAATACATCGAGCAGGATGTGGGGGCATCACGTGAACGTGCAGCTTCTTGTCAAGGCAACGGGCCCGACTTTGCCCTCTTTGAGGCCAGGGCAGAGGAGAATAACTCACCCAGCTCATTTCCACCAGCCTGCCCCGAGCATCGCCAAGGACAGCTCAGCATAGGCACCTCCGCTTCCCACCTACGCAGTGGGAAGAGCACGGGGACAAGGACCGCGCTGCCCAGGGATGCTGGATGCTGTGGAAATGACTTCCTGCCTCTGCCAGAGCTAATTTCGCAGCCGACACCAGCTGCTTCCCAAAGGGGTACACATAACCCTGAACCGAGCTGCTCTGAAATGACTCAGCCAAGGCAAACCCTTCCTCCCAACACCTCCTTCTGCTGGTGTTTGACATATGACCTGGCAGAGGGAGCTTGCTAATAATACCTACATTTTATATAGCACTTTTCTTCGGGAAATCTCAGAGGTTTTACACAGAATTCAAGTCTATTTGGAGCTCAAGGCTTCTAAGGATGTGCCAAGGACAGAGAGTTTTGGTACCCGGGAAGGCAGCATGGGAAGGGTCTATTGCCAGGACAGATCTGCTAAACCGATCTAGCAAGGAAGTAATGATGGCTGTGGTGAATTCGCCATCGTTAGGGTCCAGAGTGAACAACCCAGAGCTGATCAGGGGGTTCTTCTCTGACACAGCCATGGTTTCAGGTGAGCCAGCAGAGTTTAGGTGCTACAGCCCCATAGTGTGATGTGCCCCAGAGAGTGGCAAGAGCACGATGTGGCTGTGAGAGCACCTCATGCCATGCCAGGCCAGGAACCCCATCCTATTACGGGAAGACTAAGCCCTGTCCCTGCAGCCAAAGCAGGTGCCCAGCCCTGGGGCAAGTCCAGAGAGGGAACCAGCGGGGCCTGAGGCGCTGGGGACGGCTCAGAAATAGCCCCGAGCTGCGCAGAGGGACGCCTGGGGAGAGCTGGTGCGCACACTGCAGGCTTTGTCTGGGGCAGGTCGGCTGGGTGTGTGCTTCCTGGCATACAATTCCCAGATTAGCAGGAGCCCGGCTGCCAGCAGCTCCTCCAACCCGGCCGTGAACGAGCTGCTCGGGGCTGGGAACCACCGCCGAGGTCAGTGGTTCAAGAGCCCAGAGCTGCCAAGGAGCTCAGGGTAAAGATGGGATGGGACCGGGCAAGGACACAGGGATGGGCATCTCCTGCCACGTGCCCAAGAGAAAATGAAGGGCAGGACCCCCCAACCCCTCTCTGATACCTCTGCAAGAGGTTGGTTTTGCCTTTCAGCCCCGAGGGGTGGAAGCCACCACTGGCCAAACCAGACAAGGCAATCTCTCCTCTCCTTTTGCAGCCAGAGGGGAAGAGAGGCAGGAACCTGTCTCTTCTTACCCCAAAATTAATAAATAAAAACCTTAAAAGCCAGAGGGAATAACTAATGTGGAGAATATGAAAAAGCGAGAGGGTGAAAGGGTTTCAAGACAGAACTTTTTAATAAGGGAAAGTGAATAATCAGAGGGAGAAGTGAGAACAATTTATTCACACTAAATGCTTAATCTGAAAAAAAAAATATATATAAATAATTCAAAGCAAAGCCAGGCTGTGCCAGCCAGGGGAGTGAGACTCATGGGTCCTTCCTGAGCAACAGGAAAGGAGAAAGGAAAACTGGAAACATGTTCACTAAAGGGAAATGTCAGGGAAAGAAGAGGAAAAAGCTGGAGCTGAGGACCTCTTTAGGACAGGGCTAAGAGTGGCGGGTACCAGGGTGGGGGGCAGAAAAGAAGGGCCAGGGTCACACTCTCCTCCAGGGGGGCTGCCGATGTAGGGTGGTCCATCGGGGGCTGCTCCCCACCTCTCACTGGATCTGGGGAAGGAAAAGGATGGACTTCAGGGTCCGATGCAGAGCAGCACTGCTTCCCACCAGCCCTGCCACCCACTCCCACCGCCTGATGGGGCTCCCAGTGCAGAGCCAGACCCCAAAAGGGGCTTTTTCCACCCATCACCTGCAGCTGCAGGATGGCATGGGGCTCTGGGCACCTCCAGCATCTCTCACCACAAGAGCTGGACCCATGCTGGGTGTGTTGCAACCACCAGCGTGAAGCAGAGCTGCTCCAACACCCCACTGGCACCCAGCTGCTTGCACCCCTCCAGCCCCAGCCCCATTTACTGCCTCGGAGAAGCTGGACACCAGCAATTCCCCCCGACTGGGGCTCCAGGAGCCACGCCAGCCGTGTCCCTGCCGTTATCCGCCCGTGCTGATGAATCGGCCTCTGTTTGGAGACACCCCCTCGGAGGCTGAAAGGAGCTACTGTGTGGGCTCTGGGGATCAGACTGTGGCTGGTGGGTTCAGACGGAGAAGCATCCCCTGTTAAACCCCGGGTGCCGTCCTAAATGCCCAGAGCCTGTGCCTGCCCACACACTGCAGAGCGAGGTGGCTGCCGAGCGAGCCCAGAGCAGAAAAAAAAATAAGAATAAATGAACCAAGCAAACAACCCGGTAAAAGTCCTGGCCCGCACGGCATGAGACAAAGAAACTGCCTCCACACTCCGATTTCCAACACTATTTGGGAATTTCCCATCCCCCTGATGCAGCTACTGAAGCCAAGACAACACATCTGGTCTCTGCAGGAGGGAGGAGATGGGCTGCTGTGAGCTGACCCCCACGTACCCAGTGGGCAGTGAGGGCGAGCAGCCCCCCCAGGACCTCCCTCCCCACCTCCCAGACGTGCTCTTCCTGTGCATGGGGCGAAGGAAGTCGCTTTTTCCTCTCTCCCGGGCTGTCCCTGCCCTCGGGAGGAGAGTGTGGGGGTTCGGCTGCCCTCGGCTCACACCGTGAGGAGTGATGGCCACAGAAGGATCTGCCCTCACAGAGCCAGGCCTGGAAACTCCCCGCCTTCCCTCCGCCTGTGGACAGAGGGTTTCCACAAACAGTTGTCTAGAGCCCTTGTCAATCCCGATTCCAGAGGCATTCAGAAATACAGCACTCCGGAGGGGAGGAATTGGTAGGCGAGCCCTAGTATGAAAGGGGAAACTGAGGCAGGGAGTGCAGAACCTCTCTTCTCAAAGGGAAAACTTAAAACTAGGCTCATTTAATAAATAACCTCACTGAAAGATGCTGGTTTTTCTCCTGTAGAAGCCACTAGCTCTTCTAAAATGGATTTATGGACCTGGCACTGTAATTTTAAACATATTGGCCCAAGTGCCCTGCACATGGTCCCACAGCAGCTTGGTGGAGGAGGCAGAAATACAGCTGTGGTCACAGAGGACCACGGTGGCACGTGGTGCCAGGAGAGTTGCCCCATCTCTGTGCACCGATGGCCTTTTTCTCTTCTAGACTCACCTCAGGCTTTTCCAGGGGTTCCTCCTCCACCTGCTCCCAGCAGTACCCAGCTTCTCCCAAAGCAGCCACGGGCTTCTCCTGCTCTCTCTTCTGAAAACCTCGGTTAGAGAAAGAAATATGTCAGAGAGACAGACACCCCGAGCGCTGCAGCAAATTGGAATAGCACTTGGAATGTGTCCTCATGGCCAGGAACTGACCCCAGACGTTGCCTCCTTGGCCACTTCATCACAGACCTGCAAGACCTTTTTGAGCAGGTTGTCCCAAGGTTCTGGTGCTCAGAGAGGTCGTGCTCTCTGTGCTGACACACCAAGGGTCTGAGAGTCTTCTCAGGGTGCTCACAGGACCCCATGCTTCAGGAGGTGAAGTGGTATCTTTCTTACCTGTTAAGCAAAAATACCCGGGAGATCACAGCATGCCTCCCGGAGGGAAGAGATGGGAGCTCTGTTAATTAAAATATTTCATATCTAATGGGCAAAGTTGGAGGGAATGGTCTGGACAGAGCAATTCTGCGCTGGAGACAGAGTTGAAGAGGAGGAAGGTCTGGAAGCTCCTTCCCTCCCCTCTTGCTGGGAGCCCATATGATGACACTCACTCCCCCCCAGAGATTTATCAGCCCTCCCATAGACACCCGCAGTCACAGGAACCCCCCCCCCCCTTCCCATATTTGTACAACAGATTATCAGAAGGTGTATTTATAAGTTATTTTGTCCTAAACAGATTATAGCTTGACAGCTCTTCCAATGCCTGAAAAACACGAGCTGGTTTATGCTGGCTTCTCCGGACACGGCAAAGGGACGGTTTGATTAACGTCCAACATGCTCCAATAGCTTTTATAGGAACAAAGCCTGGATCTGTTGGGGGTTTTTTAATCAATTTGATATATCTGGTGCATGCGAGAAGCATTTTGCCTGAAGCCTCATATTCTCTCTTCACCCAGAGCCCAGAGACAGCACAGCCGTGACAAGCCCTGTGTGGAGACACCCGTGGTGCTGGCACCACAGACGTGCTCTGCAGGGACCTGGGGCATCACAGCTCCAGCCTCAGCCCCCCCGGGCACTGGGCACTTGCCACCATCCTCATCCTCCCACCCTGCCTGACTGGGAAAGGCGCCTTGCCTCCCTCAGCAACTCCAGAGGAGGAAACTCTGTGGATAAAACCCGATCAACACCAGGGGGTTTGGCTGCTCCTTCTCACAGTTGCAATTGCTCCCCATGCTGCAGCGTCCCTGGAGAGCCATCACACCCTGCTGAGATGGGTGCTGCAGAGCCAGGAGAGCTGGACCAGTTCCCTCCTGCTGGAGACCAGCAGGGCAGCCCAGTTCCAGGGCAGCCAGGGGAGCAGAGAGCAATTTTCCCTTAGTCACATCCCTGGACAGTTAAGCAATGCTGGGGTGAGCTGGACTGAGCCATGGGCTCGTGGTCAGACTGTGCAACCCACGGCCACCCACACTCCAGCAGCCTCGGGGCAGAGGTTGACGTCCTGGTTCTACCAAGGGTTTGCAGGAGATGAGCTTGCCCACCCCTGCGTGGGGTCACCAAACCTGTATCAGAGAATGACAGACTGTTATGGGCTGGAAGGGACCTCTGGAGATCATCCACTCCAACCCCCTGCCAAAGCAGGGTCACCCAGAGCAGGATGGACAGGAACACGTCCAGGTGGGTTTGGAACATCTCCAGGGAAGGAGACCCCACACCATCTCTGGTGTGGCAGCCTCTTCCAGGGCTCTGCGACCCTCAAAGTAAAGTTTCCAGAACAAAAGGAATTTCCCGTGTTCTGGTTTGTGCCCGTTGTCCCTTGTCCTGTCATCACTGAGAAGAGTCTGGTCACAGAATCACAGAATCTTCTAGGATGGAAGGGACCTTAAAGATCATCTTGTCCAACCGTCAACCGAACTGACAAAAATAGTCACCCACACAACAAACAAGGAGCATCATCACTAAACCATACCTCCCAGCACTACATCAACCCGGCTTTTGAACACCTCCAGGGATGGTGCCTCAACCACCTCCCTGGGCAGCCCATTCCAATGGCTGAGAACCCTTTCAGTGAAAAATTTTTTCCTAATATCCAGCCTGAACCTCCCCTGGCGCAACTTGAGGCCATTTCCTCTTGTCCTGTCGCCTGTGACTTGGGAGAAGAGACCAACCCCCATCTCTCTACACCCTCCTTTCAGGGAGTTGTAGAGAGCAATAAGGTCTCCCCTCAGCCTCCTCTTCTCCAGGCTGGTCCCATCCTCTTGCCACCCATATTGCTCGGCATTGATGAGTCCCCTCTCAGCCACCTTCTCCCCAGGCTGAGCAGCCCCAGGGCTCCGGAGGTGGATGGAAAACCTCCTCGGCCCCTGCAGAGGTGGTCCCTGGATGTGCCCCATCCTCCTCTCACCCTGCGGGAGCCAGGGTGTCCCCGAGGGCACCCAGGGGTGTCCCTGTCACCCGGCGGGGCTCTCCCGGCTGGGCTCGGCTCGGTTGGCAGTCGGAGAGTGCCACCTGGTGCTGCGAGGAGATGGCTCTCCCCGGCAGGTCCCCGCAGCTCTCCCCGAGGGTTGGGGGGTCACCGGGGGGCCCGGAGCTCACCTCCCCGCCGGGACCGCGTCCGAGGGGTCTGGAGCCGGGGGGAGCAGGACCGGAGTTGCAGGTCTATTCCCCGCCGCATTCAAAAGCGGCTCCTCTTCGCCTTCCAGCTCCTTCGAGCTTCCTGGGGCCTGAGGCTGCAATGGGGGAGGAAAAAGGAAAAAAGATGATGTACAGAGACATTTTGTCAGCTCTGACAACAGCTTGATCCTGATGCAACACGAATTCCATTGACCAATTTTTGAAAATAAAACCAATTTCTACCTCTCTTTCCCCC